AATTCGTTGCGAAAGTGGACACAGCTATCTGGTCACCTTATACCGCGGAGGGGGGCCGAGGGATTTGAGTGGGAATGATTCAAGGAATATCTTGCTTACTAGATATTAGGTAACAATACCTGTATCAGGGACATTTTAGTCCAAGTAGCACCGACACCAATTGAGCGGAAATGCTCAAACGGGGTCCCTGAATCTTTACTGAAATAAAAATAGTGATTCTGATTTGGCTCTGAAGCGTCCAAAACAGATTCGTCGAGGACAATATGTGTAGGAAGCAAGAGTGGAAATAGAAAAGCTAGAGAGAACCTGGCTGGACGAAGGTGTTGTCCAGACCTTGAAATACTTGGTCTATGAAACGCTGAAAAGTTTGAGCTGCGTTTCTCAAACCGAAAGGCATACTCAGAAACTCAAAGAGACCAAAAGGCGTAGTCACAGGAGTTTTCGGGACATCCTCATGGTGCACAAGGATATGGTTGTAAGCTGGAACCAGATCGATTTTGCTAAAAATTTTACACCCACCTAAACTTACTGTCGGGTCCTGGATGTGTGGTATTGGATATAGGTCCGGCGTAGTGATGTTGTTTAGGGCCCTGTAATCACGCCAGTCTTCGGTAAACCTTTTTGGAACCATGTGCAAAGGCGAGGCCCATGGACTGGAAGAGGGCTGTATGATTCCGAGGTTTAACATGTGTTGGAATTCTACCCGTGTGACTTTCAGTTTGTCTGGGGCGCGGCGTCTGGGACGGCAGTAAACGGGTGGACCCCGTGTGACGCTGTGGTGCTTTATGTCAATGCTGACTCCGGAAATTCGCAGAGAACCGTGTGGAAACGATCATATTTTAGCAGTCAGTAGATGATGGAGCTGACGGATGTTTCGTGTGTCTGGACGCCTATTGCCTCGAGATTTGTGAGACGGTCTACAAGTTTATGGCCTACGGGATCGACCATGAGGTTGAAATGACGGAGGAAATCAATGCCAATAATCGAATGAGGAAGGTCAGCGATGATGAAAACCCATGGAAAACTACGGCGAATTCCGAGGTTCAGTGTGAGTAAACGCTCGCCGTAGGTTTTGATTGGGGTTTGGTTCACTGCCATCAACTCAACAGTCGATGAATGGCGCTGATCGATGAGACGATGGCGTATAATGCATCGGTGTCGGCTAGAAAGCGTGTGCTATTGACCTCGTCTGTGACGTAGAATAGGCGACTTGTCTTAGCTAAACTTGACGCGGTTGTCGCCTGGGTCGGTCGGCCTGGGCGTTTCCCTGTTGTGATGGCTTGTAGCTATAAG